GTTGTTCGTACGCAGCGACCCCGTACTGCCCTGCTTGGTCAGATCCAGAGCACTGCCTTCTATGAAGACGACTGGGAATATGAAAGTCTCTGTCCTGTTCCAAATGCCAAAATATTTCGTTTTGAGGCACCACTTTACTATGCAAATAAAGACTTTTTTCTGAAGTCTCTCTACAGAATGACTGGGTTAGATCCTACTCTGGAAGCTGCTAAAAGGAAAAAGAATGAGAAGAAGCAAAAAGAGCATTTGAAAGAGGGAAACAGAGGCACAATTGTTAAGGGATCGGATCAGGCAGATACAGCCTTACACCTGGTCCCTAAACAAGTAGATTTCCAGACCATCATCATAGATTGTTCCTCAGTCACTTTTCTGGACACAGCTGGTATAATCACATTAAAGGAAATACTGAAAGATTACAACGAGCTAAAAATCACTGTTCTTCTGGCTTGCTGCAACCCCTCAGTGATTGACTCTCTGAAAAGAGGGGACTACTTTGGGAAGGATTGCAAAAAAATGCACGAATTGCTGTTCTATAGCATACACGGTGCTGTGCAGTTTGCCAGAGACAGAAAGCTTTTGGCAGATGGCTCTGCTGTTTAGTTTCACAGGCCCATGTATTTCCCTCTGCTGTGCTGCACAAAGGGGAACAGGGTCACTTAGAAGTCGGCAGACACCTCACTTGCTGTACAGGAGCCATCTGCCTACAGGACATTCTCCCATGAGAAGGTGTGCAGTGCTGGACCACCGCGTCACGTCTGCAGACGGGGGTGTGGTCAAGGACCAGATGGGAAGAGTGAGGCGTGCACCCAGTTACCACCTGAACTGCCACTTCAAAATGCAGATGTTGGACTGTAAAACAGCTTGTGCGTTACTTCTCCCTTGTACTGTAGTAACTTACACGCATCAAACGTATGCACCACCGGTCTGGTGTATCTGCAAGTCTGTCTAGTGCCTGAGCAGAAAAGGCTAGCTGTCTCCCTTGAATGTGCTGGTTTATGGGTACAGGAGAGCAGTCTCCAAGAAACCACTTGTGGTCTGGTTCCTTGGCCACACCACATTGCTATCTTTTAAACTCTGGCCTGTAAGGCCTTTTCCCTTATCATATCACTACTACAGGCATGCTCATGTTTCAACGGGCTTTTAGACAACCCCGCTGTTTGCTACACACTTGTTAGGAGCATCAGCTGGGATGATGTAGCACCTCCTTCCCACATGCCCATGAGCCATAACAAACGTGTTCCTCTCAGTTTCATTATTCATTAGCAAAACCTCTCTCAAAGCTACCATGGAATCATCCATATTAAAAAGAGCCTATTAAGGGCATATTTCTGCTCTTAAAGATGCAGGAAGAAGTGTGACCATTAAACTCAGATTTGCTGTAGCTAGTGAAATTACTCAAAGCGATTTAAGAAAAGGGAAGTGCTTTCATTAGAAATCTTATAGCTACACTAGTTTAACTGAGAGGCAAATCTGACTTTCTGGAATTTAGCTATCTCAAGCTTAAACCCTAGAATTCAGGCCAAGCACATCATCTTTGTAATGTAACTGTCAGACTGGGTGCAGGGCAGTGGGGAGAAATGGGAGTGAAAGAGACAGAGGAGGGGAAAAGATGCAAGAAGGGAAGCCTGAGATATGGATGGGAAGGGGAGAAACGGGCTGGTTCTGAACTGGGTCTGAATCTGGAGTAACTCCATTGAAGTTTTACGCTGGTGTAACCGGGGTCAGAATGTGGCCTAATGGCTGAAGCAGAACTTTTTTAAACCATTCATTTCATTATGTTGTCAGAGTACCCCCGCTATTTGTATACATTTCAGGCCATAACTTTAATTTGTAACTCTGTGGTTTCTAACGACAGCTAATAGATGGTTAGGCTGTTATGCAGAGTCAGGATATGTTATTTTTATATTAATTTCTATGACTATTTATTCCCCATAATATCAAATGGCAATTTAAAAGACAGCACACTGCAAATCAGATGCATTGGTATATATCACACCTATTTGTGCAGTATCTGTACAAAAATATACGTAAAATAGGGCTAGACCAAAAGTCAGTTTAACAGGCAGCGCTGAATTGCCGCCAGAAGTTCTGACACTTGGCTTTGGCAGCGTGGCTTCTCTAATGCTCAAGCGGACGAGCTAGCCAAGGCACAGTTTCGGCTCATTCAGCAGCTGCTTCTCCCTCCTGTCTCGTGTCCCATCCCACAGGCCAGGTGCTGGGCAGTATAAGGGAGCTCAGCTTCTGGTCCTGGATGCTTTTTTCCTTTCTCGTTTTGGCCATTTTGTGTGACCTTCCACCCCCATTTCAATGGCAGAACCTTCCCCTTTCCCAGTAGCTCTCACTGTCTTTCCTCTCCCATCCTTTTCCCTGGGGTTAGACGCTCCTTCCATCCATGAGTGAAATGAGGGGAAAATGCAGGTTTGAGGACTACTTACAGGGCTACATTTAGTCTAACTCCATTGAAGCCAATAGAGACGCCCTTAAACGTACTCAGTGCTATAACTGCTCTGTAGTCTCTAAAGAGACTACTGGTCTCATTCTACTTTTAAAGCGAGCCCTTTGCCACGATACACAACATTTTGTTTAAGAGCACTTCACAGCAGTACCAAGCAATTTATTTCCACTCTCTAGATCAACAAGTGCAAGGATATTCGAAGCAAAGGTCTCCAGATTTTCCAATGTCCCCTTCCCTATTTAGGAACACCACAACAAATAATCCTTTCATAAAGGAAGGGCAACTCATTTCCAAATAGAGATATTCTGGTGATTGACTCTATCTGAAGTGAGGGCAACACTGGGATGGGGTGTATAGATCCCACGCTGAGGAGGGAGGTGCCAGAGAGGCTCTGGGGACAGGACGAGCCCTTCCCCTCTGGCCTTGTCAATCATGTATAAAAGGGAGAAAACGGCAGTCAACTGAGGGGGGAGGAGCAAGACTGCCCTAAGCAGAAGACTGCTGGAGCCACTTGGGGAACGCCCATCCAGGAGATCTCTACCCCAACCCTGTGGGGAGTGCAGTGAACTCCCAGGGAGAGACTTAAGAAGGCCTGCAAGGGGTAGGACCCCTGGTAAGAAGTAAGGAATTGGGGCCTGTGCGGGAGCCACCCAGTGCAAGTAACTGGGTGTGGTCAGGTTCTCTCACCCTCTGGAAGAAAAACCTGTGGGGGCTCCTTTACAAACACATTTTTAATGAGGATTTGTAGTCAGGTACTGAAATTCCCCTGCTCGCCTCATTTATTCAAAAACACATGTGATGTCTCGGTGCTATTATCACAACACATGATGTCAACAGTAACAAAATAATTCTGGCAAAGCCGGCCTGACTGATGTCCCTGTTAAGAGATCAGAACTGACCAACCATTTTTAGTATTCGTGTTTTTCTGCAGTAAAGTCAATTTAACATGCAACGACATCATCCATTAAAGAGCTGGTGTACCATGACCACAGCTTACCATCTTCTCATTGTTACCTTGTGTTCTCCTGAAATGTTTGTTGTAGCCACTTAGTATGTATGCTTTGCTGGTCAGGGACCAGCTTTGTCATATGTCTATACAGGGCCTAGCACAAAGCGACTGGGGCCAATACACTTTGCTGTATGATACAGCAGGCTACAATTGGGAGTTAACAGCAATCCCTGGGGAAGAAAAGAGCAAGCTGTTTAACAAGCTAGTCTTATTCACTCTGTTGGTTTGAGCCCCAGAGCTAGAACCTTGAGAAGAAATATAGCTTAGCTTTCCCTTAATGTTATGAGACTAATCTGGTTTCTGAAAGAAGGCAGGCAATTGGGGAACAAAATTAAGACTTATCCTTACCTGAAAAAAAAAGTTAGCGTTCTAGCCCATGCCCCCCAAATCCCCCAAAAGAGGGAGAAGGGGAGAGAAGCTGATCTGTCAATCTTTTTTTAACAAAGCATGCTGGGAAGGGGTGCAGTCTGGTGGCTCTTTACAAGGTAGGCTGTTCAGGTTGTTTAGTATTTATCAGAGCAGCATCCCAGTAGAAGAAGGAGAGCTGCATGAAGATGCGGGATGGGGGGAGAACAGGTTGGTTTTTTTCTCTCTGATAAAAGTTGTTTTAACAACCAGAAAAGACTTCAGGAACCATTTGCGTTTTGAATGTTAGTTCTGGGAACCGGCTTATATGTAAGTTACTGTGTTTGTGGTTGTAAATGACTTTCTATGATTAAAAACTGCTTTATTTCTGTTCACTTACTGTCAGGGGTCAGGGCAGGGTATACTGACTCAGTGTGTGGCTGGTGAAGGGCTTTTAATTCCTCTGTGGTTTTATACTATTCTCAACGACTTGGGGTTTGGTAAATACTAGAATAAGATACTTAATATGAGACTCTCTCTTTTCTTGTGTAGCTGGCATACAATTTTTGTCAAGCATGGTGTCTTTGTCATGGACTATATATTTAACAAACTACAGGTAGCAAGGGAGGGGCTCCCAACCTCGAGGGGGAAAGAAAACTACATTAGTTCAGCCTGGAAGCAAAAAAGCTGCCCTTACATACAGTGTGGGGAAAGACAGGGAATGGTTACAGCTGTGGGCTGGAAGCAGGGGATGTTTTCAAACAGCCCCTGATTAGTGATGTCTCACAACTGACAGTTTTTCCCACCAAGAGAAACTTTTTAGCTCTACATCACCGCTTAGTCATGACTGGGATTTAAAGGCACAGTCTAGCCATAAGGGTTCACAGCTGAATACAGTAATTCCCCTATGTCTGCTTCTCATGCACTCCTAGGGCTCTCACATCACAGAGGCATTTCCATTACTTCTAGGGAAGAGCAACCCTACCAAGTGTACATAGGAACATACAACTTACCTAAAATACATAGGTTGAGGTATTTAAAGAGCTGAAGCACTGTCAGAGGTATTAACAGGTCTTTTTGGACAATGTGCATGAGTCAAAGCAAATCTGAGCTCCTAGAGCAGGAAACTTGATTTTTTCCCCCCTAACACATTCCATTGTTAATTGTTGAGTATCAGAAATGTTCACTCACCCAACGGTAATGAGTTCCAGTAACCAGTGAATTCGAACTTGTTCAATGCCGCCATGCGGTACCGAAGACACATAGGCAAGGTTCAGCTCTTGGTCTTTACTGAGGTCAAATAAATCCGCTCTGCTGTGAGGTAGAGGAGGACTGGAGGTGGGAAAAACAATAGGTCACAGAACAGATCAATGCCAGAGCCAGGAATAAAACCCAGGCCTCTTGAGTCCCAATCCAGGGTCCTGTCCATGGGGATACACTGCTTTTGCTGGAGCAGTAAGTGCAGCTCAGCAAAGTGGAGTGAGGAAATTGAAACATGACTTGGGGTTTATATCTTCGTGTTAGCTTACAAGTTAGCATCAGAGTACAGGACCGTGAATCATTCCATGAGTAGCAGGGCAGGAAGATTTTGCCTCAGATTACTTAAACTCAACAAACACGCATAAGGAAAATTGGCAACGAGATAATTCCCTGGGAGTAATTAACACTGTTCTAAGCATAGTGTCAGCCTGCCTGACTCCCACCTCTACTGAAGCCAATCAAAATGTTCCATAAGTCATGTAGGGGCTTGGTCTGTCCATTGACTTCAACCGAGTTGGATCAGGCCTCAAGAAAGCACATGCTGCTGTGGACGTTCTGCCATGCAAGTCTCTCAGTGCATGCACTCCACTGCCACACTGTGCCTCGCCCCTGGGCACCTGTCACAGGGGTGTTTGCCATGGGACTAAGCAGGCTGAGAAACCCTCAGCCATATTTAACTCTTCGTTGATGCACAGTAACACACTCATGTTAACACTGACTCTCTGGGGCCCACTTATTCCATTGAAACTAACAACAGGGGGCTGGCTCCGTGTGCCCTTTGCCCCACTTTTGAACCCACACAGAATAGCTACCATGTGGAGGGAAAGTGTTTTCTCTAACAGTTAGAATATGCTCTGAGTTTGTTGGGTTAAGTGCTAAATGTTGGGGCAACAGCAGGGGACTGGACACAGTGACCCAGGAGGGCCTTTCCAGTCCTATGTTCCTAAATACAGATCTCCTGTGAATGCCCTAGTTCTCTTTGTTTTTACAGAAAAGAGAGAACATGCTAAATCACTGCAAGACTTGGCTAAAATATATCCTGATACACTTTGTACTTTTTATATACATATGAAACTTAATAGAACTGTATATTGTGCTGGTTTATTTTGTTATGGGAGCATAGCTTAATTATACTCATAAAGAACCTATTGCAATGCATGCTAACTCATTGTGGGTAGTTGTCGCCTTCTAGCGGCTGGACGAGATACAGGTTTGAATCTGCTACTGCTTCCAAGCCAATGGACCTAGTGCTTTAGCTCAGTGGTTCTCAACCAGGGGTCTGGTCCCCTGTCGGTCCGCAAATCCTTTCAGGGGGGCCACGGAGCCCCACTGCTGAAACTCCGAGCTCTGGTGTCGCCCCCCCGCCCCCGCCCCCACTGCGGGGCTGAAGACGGGAGCAGTGTGGGGCCGAAGTCAGAGTGGCAGGGAGCTGAAACCCCAAGCTCCCCCCCACCTCCACGCTGAAGCTGGGAACGGCAGGGCTGAAGCCCCGACGCAGGCAGAAGCCCTGAGCTAATGGGCAGAGCTGAAGGGGCACGGAGGTGTTGCCCCCCCAAACTGCAGTGCCTTACCCAGAGTGCGGCAGTCCTAAGGGGGCAGTTCCACCCCCTCCCACACCTCCTCCTCTCTCTCAGCTCCCCTCAGGCCCCACCCTCTGGCCAGGTCCTAGCGGAAAGCCAGAGCCAGGCAGTGCGGGGCAGCTGCTTCTCTGGCTGGTGGTGCCATGGAGTGGGCAGCCCTGGCATTCCCCGTCTGCTGCTGGTGCCCGGGGTTGTGGCTGCTCTTCCGCTCCCAGCCCCCTTTGACTGCTCACGCAGCTGGTCCGAGCTGCCCAGATGGGGACCCAGCTCCGGGGCTGGCAGAGCCCTTGGGGAACAGCCATTGGCACACAGCCCCAGACAGGTGGGTGGCCTGCAAGATAAGTCAGGAGGTGGAGGTGGTGCTCCCTCCCTGGACCCTGCTGTGCAGAGCTGGCCTGAGTCCTGCTGGCCCTTGCCCTCCCCCCCAAAACAGAAGTTAAATTACACCTATGCCCAAGAGTCCTACCCCTGGCCTGGAGCCCCGAGTCACCCCTGCCCCTGCTGGGCCCTGGAGTTTTTGTAGCATGTTGAGTGGGGCCTCAGAAAGAAAAAGGTTGAGAACTCCTGCTTTAGCTCAAGCACCGCTTCACATTACTAACCCCTTTATTTAGCCACACCTCTAGAAGGAGGCAAAGACCTACACTGGATTTAACATGGGTTATCCTATCTCAGCAGCAGCTTTTGTCCTCTGTGGCTTGTTGTCCTGGTATCTGTCCTTTCCCTCTACTTTTCCATTCTAGTTTAAATATATCAAGTCTATAGAATCTCAGAACTTGGTGTTTCTAAGGTTTCATCCATGTTCTCTAGCAGGTTCCAAATCTGGTCTCTGCCAGATCATCTGATATTCTGACATGGAAAAAGGAAACTACATTCAACAACTAGAGCCTGCTTCTGATTCAGATTTCCAGTTCAGATTTCCAGTTCAGTCCTTTTGGTTGACCAGGGTTCCTGTCTGACTAGATGTGAACTGTGGCCTGATGTCACGGAACCAGGGAGGGTGCAAGGATGTTTCGCACCCTAGGCGAAACTTCCACCTTGCGCACCCCCCTCCCC